CCTGCCGTCGATCTCAGCATCAAAGCGACATTTAGTGGAACCAGCAGGGCTTCTCCCTTATTTCCTTGACAGGCTGCATCTGCGCGTGCTTAATTAATCGTCCTTGAATTAATCCACATTTTGGGATCACCACCATTCAGAAACCATAAACAGCTTGAGTTGGCAACGCGTGCTGTTTAAAAAACCAGTTTAGCATCTGCTCAATCTCTTCCATGAGCGCAAGGCTGGTTCCTCGCGTGTCTGACATTCTCAGATATTTATTTTAAATGCACGTCCTGTTCATCGTTAGGGTGCTTAAGGCGATCGTTGCCTGCCCTCTCGATGCAGTTTTAGCTTCGCCCATTTTACCTTCACCCTTTCAGGTAGATCAGGTGGTTGAATGAGTGGGCCCAAGCCCCCCAGGGGATCTTCTGGCTCCGTGGGGCCTTGGAGCCTGGATCTGCCATCTTGCCTCTAAACAAGCTCAGCCCCCCGGTTCCTCGCTGTCGTCTTTGCTGGCTCCCTGTCTCCCCAACGTTTTCTCTTGCTGCTTGCAGGGGACCCAAACATCCACTGGAACAGTTGGGAGCCCTGGGTGTGTATGTGCGAACTCCACAAACAGGCCCGGATACGGCATTTTGTAGTGTGGGCGGCCAACATTTCGCTAGACCTCAAGACCTCTGAGTTTTGGCAAGAAAAAGCCTGCTCCTTGGAGGACTGCACCGTGTGCGCGCCAGAAGACTGCCCCGGCAGCAAGGCTCGATCTGGCTTCTTCTCTCGGTTTGAGAGGCTTTCTTCCCCCAAACCTCACGAAGTCAAGATCCCTCTTCCGCCCCACCTGGATTCCCCATCCTACGACAGCCTCCCCGTAGTGGACGCCAAAGAAGAGGAATAGGAAGACCGACCACATGTTTCCAACCACGTGCCCTCCTCCAAAGGGGCTGGACTGCAACACCCATGATTCCCAGCTAGCCTGGCCAAGGCATCAGAGGATCCGTTGATCCATGCCGTTGGCCATCTGTCCGAGGGCAGGCGAGGCCGTTACAGACGGAGCCCCCAAAATGAGAATGTTGTGTTGCTCCTGGATGGCAGGAGAACTGCTGGAGTTGGGCGTCAATAAAGTTTCATGGAGCTGAAATGATCTTGTTTATTTGGCTAAATTCCTAACCTGCCTTTGCCTTTATCCCCGGCTTCTGGGTCAGCCCCCAAAATACGAGAGAAAGCCAAATGGATAAGAATCGGAGCTCTCAGTCAGGGAGATCGTTTTCTGCTTTTGAATTTACTCAAAAACATCCCCCAGTGAATAGACTTTGGAAGGTCCGGGTTCCAAATTCAGATACGTATCCCTGCAACTACTAGTTGTTTTGAGCAAATTACAGTATTTAACCTCCATCTCCTTGGCTCAAATCCGAGGCAGCCGCTTGAAGTTTTGTTTGCCAGTTATAAAGAAATGTTTGCTTTTTCTTTCAGACTTGCCCAGCGATGCTATCGGGTATCGTAAAATCCTGTGGCCATTGAGGTTACTGATTAAATTTAATCTCAATTTGGTTTAAAGAAAACAAACACGTCCACCCACCCAGTGTGACCGTTTTTTGCTGGATGGGTGGGACACTCTCGGAGAGCTAAACAAAGCAATGACTCTGTTTGTGGGACAAAGCACTTTTATAAAAGGAGCTGTCAAACCAACAGATGCCGTTGAAGGCAGGCGGTTCCTCCGTATTGCTGAGAGAGCAGCGTCTTTCTCCCTCCGGCAAACTCCGTGGGACTTTCCATGGAGAATTTGCAGCTTGTGAATGGAGCCGGCAAGGAGATGGATCAATGCGAGATCTCTGAAGAGACGCCACTCCGAACGGATGGTGGCCCGGGAGTCAAGGGTTACTCCACTCAAGAGGACAGGTCTTGCTGTTTGCCTGGCAATAAAAGTGTGGATCTAGAACTCGGGATTCCCGAAACGGAGACTTCAGCGTCTTTGAGTCCTGCTGCTCTGAACGTGTTGGCCCCGGCGCCTCTCCGGCAGTGCCCGTCCAGGGTCTCCGTTGCTGAAATGGACTGCCTCATCTGCTTCAACCGATACAGCTTCGCCCGGCTGCCCAAAGTCCTGGCGTGCCAGCACGCCTTCTGCGCCGTGTGCCTGAAATTGATCTTGCGGAATGAAGATCGCACCTGGGTCATCAGCTGTCCCCTCTGCCGAAAGACCACCGCGGTATTCGGCGGTCTCATCTGCAGCCTCCGCAACCAGGAGCACGTCATGGAGCAGCTGGGGAGCCCGGATCCAGATGCCAAGGGCGCTGGCTCTCCGGGCGCTGCTGGCGCTCGTCGTAGCCGGCATCCTTCCTCTGATGTGCAATCCCAGGATGGTGGAGAGATCAACCAAGCTGCCACCAAGAGGCTGATCCTGCTCTTGATGATCGTCTCTCTGCTGATTGTCCTCATCCTCCCGTTCATGAACACCGGACTGCTGACGTGGTCCCTCTGCTTCATGATTGTTTTGTCGGTCATCGTATCCGTTGTGCTTTGCTGGGATCCCAGCTGGATGCACCCAAGTCTTTCGGTGCCCCGCTGCACGAGGAAGGTCAACCAAGTGGCTTGAGAATGACCCGCTTGGCTTCCTCGAGGGAGGGTCACAGGCCCCTTGGAGGGCTTTGGTGCGTCAGCATCCGGCAGAGGACCAGGACCAAGGGAGTGACTCAAGGGGTGTCAGGGCTGGATGGGCCCAGATGTTCTCAATCCCTGGGCATGCACCCCTGGAAATCATTGCAGCGATCCATAGCTGTCTGTAGAGTGTGGCTTCGTGCCACGCTGGTCAGAAAATAGCAAACACAATTCTGAACGATACGGTAGGATTCTGGAGGATGTCTGAACACGTTTCCCCCCTGGTTTTACGGCTCCACGGTAGACAGAGGGTGGCTTCTGGCTTCAAAAATGGTGGGAAAGATCAATAACATCTAGATGGACACTCCATGGTGGAGATCTAGTCTACCCCCAAAGAGACAGTGTTAAACGCCAACAACTAGGGTGAATGGTGGCCCACGTGTCCTCCTTAAAGGTGGTCCTTGAAGCAGATGAAGATGTGAGATTTGATATATCAGGGACTAATTGTAGACTTGGTTGTAATTTAGCCATTGCTCTTCAAGGGCTGCACAACCGTAAACATTTAAACCCGGAAGCTTGCTCTTTAATTCCATTGTTAAACACATCATTACGGTGCTTAAAAAGATTTTAAAAAATCGGCGCACACCAACCGGGGATTTCAATCTATTTATTTCAGGGTGGCTTCCACACCGGGGGACGTAAAATTTCTTCCGGAAACATTTGATGTAGGATGCAAATGGGTTTGTTCTTAGGTATGGTTTGGGGGGAAGGTTGCAACTGTTTCTGAGAAACCAAGATTCGCGTTAGGAAGTTGGGACAAGCAGAGATTCAGCAGCCCCGAAGGGAGGGCTGTTGAAGCGTTCAGTATTGTTGAAATGTTTTATGTATATGCTGTAAAGATTTGTATAAAGAGAATTTCTCCTTGGTGGTTTTTGGCTTTATTCTGCTTGCCCGCCCAGAGCTTTTGGTGGGCGGCTGAAGGCTAGAAAAGGGGCTCTGCATTTACACCTTAACCACAATTCAACTGGTGAAGCTCTCCCAGGCTTTGGGACAGAAAAACTTCCATTTGCACTGAATCTCAGTGATTGCATAGAGAAGAGAAAAGTTAGACAATGATTTTGGGGGCTGTGCCTTTCATTGCGTGGTCAGCTATTAATTCCCTTGCCATGCAGAATCTCGGTTTCTATTTCGCTTGCAAAACAGCCCAGCCTCGTGTTTTTGCTGGTCAGCTGCTTCGCCAAAATAATCCCATTTAAATCACAGAAGGTTTGCTCCAAAGGAGAGAATCAAAATGCATCAGAAGCAGCCCTCCGTCTGGTAACTGCGTTTAGGATTTACGGGCCTTGCGTCCTAAAATCCCCGCTGTCGCTTCCCTCCCTTAAATGCAAATTAATTGCGCTTTCCAACGCCACTTCCAACTTCCCTCTTCCTCTTTAAGTCGCTGCGAAGGTTGCGTAGCCCTCCCCTTTTCCTGCGTGCCCTACGCCTCACCTGTGCGTAACGCCTTCCGGGAATCGCTCCTTCCCGGGGCCGCCGGCGCAGGGCGGGCC